GGGCCCCCCAAAGCACTGCCCTTCCATCGGGCCCCGCTGCGCCCCCGGAGACCCCTCAGTTATTTGGGGACCCCCGAGGGGCTCGCAGGGGGGCCAGGGGGGGAACGGTGAAGTTTGGGAATGTTCTGCCACCCCCCCAAAAAAATTCATGCTAATAATTAATAAAAAATAATAACAAGCCCATAATTCCATGCAAGAGACATTGCTTATTTATTTTTATCTGTATTTTATACAGTTTTTCTGGGTTTATATCTTTATAATAATTAATGTTATTTATTTACATAAATTAATTTGTCTTTACTAGCTTCATTTATTTCCTAATTAGTTTTTACTTTATTTCTTTTTTATTTGGTTTCTATTTTTTTATTTTTTATTAATTTATTCCTTTATTTGTGGCCACTTCCATGGGGACAGGAGGACATGGGGAGATGGGGACATGGGGATTTGGGGACAGGGGACATTTCGACATGGCAATTTGAGGACACAGGGGCATAGGGACAAGGGGATATGGGGACATGTGAATATGGGGATACTGGGACACTGGGACATTGGGGACATGGTGAGATGCGGACATTGGGATATTGGGACCCGGGGACATGGTGGTATGGGGACATGTGGACATTGGGGACAAGGGGACAGGGGGATATTGGGACACAGGGGCACGGTGATATGGGGATATGTGGACACTGGGGACAAGGGGACAGGGGGACATTGGGCCCTCAACAAAGCCAGGCCTTTGTTTATATTGACGCCATCTTTGGCACAACATGGCAGCGCCCTCAGCGGCCTCGGGGCTGTGCTGGAGAGGGGGTGTCCAACGCAGCCCCCCGACCCAGCCCGGGGGTCGGGCAGAACGGGGGGTTCCCCGCTCCGCGAGGGAGTCGGAGGGGTTGGGCTGCGCCTCGCGCGTGGGGTCTGACCCCGGGGGAAGGGGCGCCCTCTTCCAAAATGGCGCTGCCCTCACTAAATATGGCGGCGAGCGGAAGCTGCATGCTTCGCCATCTAAGATGGCGCTGCGCTGCGGCCTCACGCACTAAGATGGCGCCCGCCGGAGGGGGCGCCATGCCCGCAGTCAAGATGGCGGCGCGCAGCGCCCCTACCCAAAATGGCGGGACACAGCCCGCTGCGAGCAGCAACCGTGACGAGCCACAGGCCGCCATAACCGGGCGGTGAAGCGGTACAGAGGCCATCGCGATGCGAAAGTGATTCGACAGTGATGCGATAGCGGCTAGGACGGCAGCGCCGCGGCCACCACACAGGGGCGGTACCATCTCTGTCAGGGTGAGGGCGCGCGGTGCCCTCAGTTAAGATGGTGATGGGCACCGTTTCCCCCTATGCCCAAGATGGTGCCGTGAAGCCACGCAGGGGGAGGGAGAGGAGGCAGCTTCCGCCCGGCGTCAAGATGGCAGCGCGGCGGCGCCGTGCGCATGTGCGGGGCCCATGGCGAGACAAGGGGCCGAGCGCGCGCAGGGCCCGAGGCCGAGAGGTACCGGGGGGGCCTGAGGGGCCTGGGGGGGCCCGCGGGGAGACCCTCCCTCCAACGGGGTCACTGCCAACCGGAGGGATACCCCCGACCGGCCCCCGCCGCCCCCACGCCACGGAGACGCGGTGGCCGCGGGTGGGGGCGATGGGGAGTGGGGGAAAGTGGGGGAGGGGCGCGGGTGTCACTCACGCATCCCCCCGTGAAGGGGAGAAGGGCGCGGGTCCCTCGGGATGAGGGTGTCACCCCGCTTGGTGGGGCCCCCCCGCTCTGGGAAGCACCCCGGGG